TTCTGTAGACGTTTATCTATTGATGACCTTTTGACCTCCTGAATTCTGCAATGAGATTTTCGGGTCGATTCAGCCGAGACGGCCCGAGTGGAGTTTCATGTAAATGTTTCGTACGGAAAAAAAATCGCTGGCGGGCCGGTGTAACACGAAATTTAGTTCCCGGAGAATTTTAGTATTTTGTGGTCTGGATAATCAGAGCCTATGGGACACAAATTTGCAACACTTTCTACTGGGGTAAACAATTATTAAATATGTCATGTATTCATTAAACCACATAAAGTAACGGAAGGTTATACAATCGAGCATGTACCTTATGTTGAACTTAAATTCACAGCTTATTATCCAGCATAAACAATCTGTTAAAAATATGTAAAAGCTAATTTACGTTGAAAAAAATCCCAATTCACTTTACAGCGAGAAACAGTGAGCATGATGGGAAGGGTAGTTGAAACTTACTTTCCTTTACAGCGACAGTAATTAGGCTAGCAATAATAAGGCGGGAATAGGTCAGGTAAACAATAATAAGGCGGGAATATATTGGTGATCATATTACGTCCGTATAAGCAGTATAAAATAAAACTGTGTTGACATTTACTGGCAGTTCGGCGGTGGAGTTATGCGAAGCTTCGGGTCAATGTGGAGAAGTTGTTCTCTAACTGTTAGTTGGCCTACATGTTTTGTAAAGCTATTCATTGGTTTTTATCTTGAATTTGCGTGTAGTGTACGGTATGCTACCATACCACTTCCTTTTTTTTGTGGGGGGGGGGGTTAGCTGAATAGCCTGTACGACTGTTGTCACAACTATTTCTTTTCACTTTTTTGGACCATTATCTATTTAATTATTTATTGAAGGAGGGTATTTATTGTATAATTAAAAATACAAAAAACAGAGGGGAAAAAAGCCACCCCTCCCCATCTAAAATTGTGTTGTGATGCGACGCTAAACAAGTAATTTCTTCTATTTGGTCTTATTGGAAGCTATAAAAAAAAATATTAACACGAGATACCGGTAATTAATATGTTATGTATGTTGGTTTAAACTTTTATCTAAAAAATCCAATTATGGTAAATGCCATAAACGCATGTACATTCTATACCTGGATGATACTGTTCAAGAGTCCTTCGTGACGTTTTCAATTTCCAGTATTGTAATTATTACATTAAAAACTCACTTGTATTATGTTTCATTTTAAAATATCTGTATCCACTATAATTAATTATCTTGGATGTTGTAATTAAGGAAGGAAGCTTATGGAATAAAACAATATATATATATATATATATATATATATATATCATAAATAAGGCTAAGATATTTGGTACTTTTTTTATGTGCAAAAAAAAAGACGTATGGGTTTAAAGTTTTGTTTGATTTTAGTAAATTTTTACTTAATTATAGTTCATTATAGGTATGAACATTTAAAACAAGAACGAGTTATAAACTTTGTAAAATATATATATATATATATATATACATATATATAGTATATATATATATAATATATCTATATAATATATAGGCCTATATATACTGTATACTGTATAGTGTATATATATATATATATATATATATAGTAAGTTATATAATGAGTTCTGATAGTTACTGTTCGTAGATTTTAGGTATGTGTGTGAATGTGTCTGTGTATGTATAGAGTGTCAGTTAAAATTTTCTTGGAATTTAGTTTCGTTTAATGTACTGCACATAATATGTAAATTTCAACCATGGAAGAAGTTAAATGTATTTGTAATACCATAAAACCTTGAATTGAAGCCCTGGCCGTCTTTTCCAGGATACTTTTGTAAAATAAAAAAGTTAGGGGGGGGGGGCTTCTTTTTAATCCAAAACGAACGTTGTAAATTTTAGGAATTACTCCTAAATAACAACAAATAGAGCAACTTTAACATCAAGATGAGCTTCTTTCTCGGGATGAAGGCAATTGTGATTCTATTCGAGGTTTTAAGGTAGGCCTACATATTTTTTTAAAATATCAATTATCATGTTTATGAAGTAAGATATGACTACTTCTATTATGTAAATATGTGCATAAATCACACAGAGATGATATTCACTATTCACATATGATATATGTATGTATAGGGTGTCAGTTAAAATTTTCTTAGAATTTAAATCTATTTGTAATACCATAAAACCTTGAATTGAAGCCCTGGCCTTCTTTACCATGATACTTTTACAAAATAAAGAGGTGGGGGGGGGGGATTTTATATTCGAATCGAATGCTGTAAATTTTAGGTTTGGTACTTGATGTATTTGAAATTACCGTGTTGACAGAGGCCCACACAGCATCTTTTCTCTTTTTACTATAATCTATAAATGAAAGATAGCAATAAATAAATTGATGCTTTCTCAGTTAGTTCACAATTCCCAACTCGAATCCGTAGCCTAATTATTGGAATAACTTTCCTCCCGCTTTGAATAACTGGTTCCCTTGAATAAACGCCCCCTAAAAAACGTGAACAATAATAATAATAATAATAATAATGGTCCGAAAGATGTGACAGTTAGAGGGTTTTTAAATTTAATTTAGACTTTTAATACTGTTACTGTATATATAAATTTTTCTCCCTGAAGATATTTTACAGTAAAATAGTGTACTTACTATTACTAGCGTAGAAAATATCAATTCAAGGGTTTTGTTTTGAAAGTCATTACAAATACCACTTCCCAATAGCTGACGTAACAGTGTATGGTTCGTAAGCGGAAGATTTCTTAGGTCCGACCAATCATAATGAAGGCCATCGCTTAAGCCAGAGTGGAAGCCTCATTAGCATACATCACCCTATATAAATGTACGAGACTGACTACATGCATTGCATTTGACGTTAGATGATTGCGGAGGCAATGTTGAAAATTGAATTGCATATAACATTATGTGAATATATTATTTTTAAACGTTTCTTAAACTATAGTTCAGAGAATTAAATATACATTTTTATCTTCAAGTGCTAAAGTGATTTTAAAGTAGACTTACGAGGCTTTATTAATTTATTTTATTGAATTCCAATTCTGTGAATTTACAACTCAAGTGTGTCAACCCACTTTACCTAGTATTATTATACAGTATTGAGTGATATATATATTACCTTAGCTCTTTGTTGATATACTCTATCATACCACCATGACTGTATTAAGCAGTCTAAATGCATGAATGTTACGATTTGATTACATTATTATTGTATTTGTTCTATTTCATTTGTTATATATCTTATATACGTGCAAAGTATTGTATTCTCATTGTATCATTATTAATAGATCTACCTGGACATTTAATAAAATAAATAAAAATGAAATACCACAATTTTGAGTGAATTCTGTAATTAATTCTGTTATTAGGTGCATAAGCTAGAGCATAAAACACTAACATGCCTAAATTATTTTGAGAGATCGTAGGAACCATTATCCTTTGGAACATTGGCTAATAATTTTGGCAATATTCTCCAGTCCAATTTCCAATCAATTCTGATTAGTTTGAATTGAATTTATTCTTTAATCATATAATTAAAACAACAGGACAAGAAAGGCAAAAATGCAACAAACAACCCTGATTAATTAATAGGATAAGCCATAAAAAGTGGGTCCCATAAAAACGATTTAAATTTGCACAAAGAACAAAAAACACACAACGTCTAAAAAGAAATAAAATGCAATGAAAAATTGGTCTAAACATGTTTTTAAAATTTTACAAGTGGAGAGGGGTATACCGTCTTATCAAACAATTTGATGCCTGATGTTTACGGGCGCTATTCGTTATCAAAGTCATTCAGCTAACAGTAACTGTGTATTACCCATCTTTTTCATATTTTGTTTTCCCACTCTGGGCATGTATCTACTCTGATTGGCTGAAAATGAAGAACATCCATACGTCACGGTGCAAAGCCTGGCTGCCAAACATGGACAATCTTCGCGCTGCTGTTGTAGCAGTGAAGAAAATTAGGTCAGCGTCGTAGTCTTTGCGGATGCGATTTGAAGTATTAACAAGAATAAAAAACATTCAAAATCGTATATTTTCTGCTTATTTTCACCGTTTTTGTACCAAATACCAGTTCACCTGATTAATTACGACCGGTCGTAAATTTAAAAACAAATGAAATATTTATGCATTGTACTATAAGTGCCATAAAATGAGAGTAGTACTTAATTTATCGACAAGCCCAAAGTTTTCGCTTAAGCGAGTATTTAGGTCTGGTACTTAATTTCTCGATGGTACCTGAATTCTCGTGACACCGGCTCGGGTTATGAATTATGAAATTACAATGCGTTGCCTGTATATAATTAATTAAAAAGAAATAAAGTTGACATACTTCACGTCATGTTTAGATAAATCGTTTTGACTTTTGAGTAATACTCACCAGTAATTTTATTTCTGTAGCCTCCTCAAAACAAATAGGCCTACATTTCATAAACAGAATAAATTGGTAATATACAAACACATGTCAAACTCGCTTATTGTACAGTAACATACTTCTCAGGTCCCAAATGTCAAACATGCGGGTGGTAGGCTACAGGTGAAAGATCTTTTTATTTTGTGGCCTAAAGCTTTGAAATTCCAGGAAAATCCCAAGTTGGAAGTCATTTCCGAGAGATCTGTTTAAACAAGCTTTCTTAGTGGTCATCCACAAATTTCAACATTTTCATAAAAGTACAACAACATACTCTTTTCGGTGACCTCCTCCGATCCCTCCCCCTGCTGAAAGAGTACACAAAAAATTGTGATTTGCGTAATTTTGAGATCAACGTTTTAGCTTTTTCACAAAGAGTACTTATATTTACACTTTCAACACCCTCCCCCTACAGCGATGTTTCGTACTCTTGTTGAGATGCCCCAGCCCCCACAATAGCACATCTATTTTTTATTTTTTATTCTTTTTGTTGCTGTTTATGACACAAATCGGCAGTGATTTCCGCGAGATAACTTATAATAAATGGGTAATACAGTAGTGAAAACATGCAGATTTAATTAATTTGCGGGAGATGGTTATTTTCGCGGTTCGAATTTCTGGTCGGATCCGATGTGAATACTACCTTTATGTACAACTTAAACATTTTAAAGAATTATTATTATTACAATCCAAAAAATTAATTCACATACCAAGCTCACTCCCGAGAGTATGATCACGTGATGGTCCAGTTCCGATCGTCGCTGTAGCACCATTGTGTGCATGCCAATTAAAATCATCTGACAGATCTTGGGAATAACCACAAAGATTCCACGTCTCAAACGAACACGATACATTCTTGACATCATGATTATCTGAGCAAATTAACAACATAAAAAAAACACAAAAGAACCAAAATTCAAATCCTATTTTGATTGTGCCCAACTCTCTATTCCCTCACAATAGGCCTATATCTAATTTCGCCTCATATTTTGTTTGGGCCGATTTGTTTTTGGAATAGTATTCACAAAACGAATCATATGTTAAGACTGTAGATAATGAATGTATTTATAAGTAACAAATGTCATAAATATATAGGCCTACACATTTTTGAATAAGACATGGGCACATCGAGAGGTAAAGGGTGGGGGGGGTGTGGTGGTGGAATAAAAAGCATTTTGTTACAATCATTGTATTCTCTGTAACCGTTTTATTTAGGTACATTGCAAATAAAAACACTGTAATTTTTATTATCAGAGTGTTAATTGGTATAATCAGGGAACCAGGGAAATTAACTCTTCCCTGGTTTGTGCCACCACCTCTTGTAATTTTACTCTCATCTTCCTCCCTTTTTTCAGCTTTCTCCCATTTCACTCTCAAATCTCCATCAGCATGATCATTCGCCTCAACATTTCTCATTTTGGTCACATTCACGTCGTCGTCTCCTCATTAGGTAGGGTGGAAAATTCGCTGCCATCTAATCAAACTTACCATCTCTCGCTTGACAAGAGGAATTAATTATCATGACGTCATCGATACCAATGCTTTCACCACCCCACCATTGCCTTGAGCCTTCAAATATTACCTTCAGAATAGATTAAACTTAATTTTAGAAACAAATCTCTTTATTTACTATGGTTCTTTTATGCGTACATTTTGTTTAATATTGTCTAAGCACATTTTCTTTGGCCGTTTTCTGCATTTCCATTAAAAAGTCGTGTGGTGCACTGAATGGTTTGCACTTTTAACTGTGAGGTCGTAGGTTCAAGACCGAGACTTTTGATTGATCCAAAGACAAGGCATTTAATCGTCCACAATAGTGTATCACATTGATTTCTCTTTCACGTTTGTGTCGAATACCAGTGTTGTATCGGCAACACATAGGCCTATAGTGTAGTTGGTATTGTAATGGTATTCGAAATTTCAAGGAAATATAGCCCCAATGGCGCCTAGTTGGTTAAGGCGCCTGCATAGACAGCAAAAGTTACTGGATCGAATCCTGGTTCAATCACAATCATTAATAGTTAATCAATATCAATCAAGCATAGCCCTTCAAAGAAAAGTTGTATAAAAAAAGGTGTCTGCTGCAGGGGTGGCACCCTTGTTTAATCGATTTTAGAGTCTACTATATAAAATCCTCCCCACCCCCGGCCTCCCCGCTGATGCCACCCTTGGTCTGGTGAGATTTGAACCTGCAACCTTATCAATGTGAGTATCATATCATTAGACCACGAAGACCGTACGGTATATGTGCAGATCTAAACCCAGGCACTTTCCCTTTATAGAAACTGACTGAAACGCTCACATATAAGCCTATATAGAGCTAAAGTTATGCTGGAAAAGTAATACAGGGATAGGTCGCAGCTTATAACTATTGAAATTAGGTTTGATTCTTTTTTGATACGATTATATTACGTTGCTATTCGAGCACTGTTATTATTATTATTTATCTATATTTTTTTATTTTGTGCTTACGGTGCTAAGCAGCAAACTCAATAAATTACCGATAGAAAATTGTTAACCTTAGTTTTTTATATACCTGTATCAGTTTATCAGTTAAAGAGCAATTAATACAAATATAGTATTGTATAATCAAAAAATTAATTCACCTGATACGTAGAGTTCTCTTGAATTTGAACTTGGGCTGCGCGCCAAATACTACCTCTGTTTCCGGATCGCGACCATACCGGGTTGCCTAAAACACTGGAGTTGATCCGTAAGTACACATTTAGCTCTGCCGTATTACCTTGCATGTAATACCAGAACTGGAGGCACATTACTGTGTTGTTATTGGTCGACTGGACTGCCTGGGTGGGTGATACCAATCGAAAAATGCTCTCATACTGTCGTCGTGTATTAAACATATAATGTCCTGAAATTCAACAACATAACAAAATCGACTATGACGTCACATACTGGCCTGCTACACTAGCCCCTCTCCCACTAGGGGTTTTTTCAGCATACGAGTTACAAGAGAATGCCGAGTTGCTAACTCGGCAAAAACTCGTAGGACGATTCGGAAAGCTCGGAGAGGACTCTTACCTACTCGTAGCAGCTCTGAACTCGTGGCGCTAATTTTGAACATGTTCAAAATTATCGCCACGAGTAGATAACTCGTAGTAAACTCAAAGAACTCGTAGGTAGCTCGTAGAGTACTCGGGGTACTCCTACCTAGCTCGTACACTACTCTGGATACTCGTCAGCGGTTTTGTCATCTACGAGTTTGATGCGAACCCCAAAAACGCGTACGAGTAAGTACGAGAGCACCGAGTTGGCTCGTACCTAACTCGTATCTAATTCGGTACAAACTTGTTACGCTCGTAATAATCTCGTAGTTAACTCGGTGCTCTGCTCGGCATAATTCGTACATAACTCGTAACCAACTCCATAAAGTCGTACCTCACTCGTAGCTAACACGTAATAAGCTCGTATAGGTCCTTTCCAAAGATCACGAGTTTTAACTCGTAGAAGACGTACGACTCTTAGGTGAAATAAACCTAGGTGGGAGAGGGGCTTAAAGTTACAAGGAAAGTATATTCACGTGATTTTTTTTTCGTTCCAGGAACCAAGCAGGAACTAACTTCTCCATATTTTCAAACCCCCACAAAGATATTTCTCAGCGCGTACAGCACAAGGTCTATTCTTATTCTCATGGAAAGGCTCGTTATTGTTACCGTGGGAATTATAAGTCAAATGCCATAGTTCAAGGATGAGACCCCTGGAATTGTGAAGTTTGTAACACAAATTCAAATAAGAGCTGAAAATAAATTAATGAATAAAAGAAATCAACGGTTAGATAATCATACCGTAGGCCTACAGTATATTACCTGCATCTATTAGGACACTTTTATGCAAGGACTTTAATTAAGTACATTTTCAAATTATAATTGTTAATCAAAACAACTTATTGTTTTGAAGAGCACATTATTTTTTAATTGAAGCATGTTCGTTCTTGGTCGCAAAACTGTGGTAACTGTCATCATATGTGATATTTGTATTTCTTTTTTTATTTTGTTGAGGAAGAGTTGGTGTTTGTTTTTATAGATCGCATGTAAGGTTTAGATGTAATTCATTCATATTTGAAAGTCGATTTGCTGATCAGTTGTAACAAATCATATAGCTTTAAATAAAAAACATATTTTTTTTTTATTATTTTGTAATAAAGTTGGTCAGGTGGTCTTATATAGGCCTAAGTGCATTTTGTTAGAAATTTTACGCTTCAAAATACCATAACCTAATTAAACAATTATTTCTTTATGCACATTACTTTTTGCCGATCCAAGAGTCCGGGTGTTCCGACCTATCAACCCCCAAAACATAAAAAAAAAAATAGACTGCAGGCCACAGGGGCTGTATGGACCAGTACACCGGGGTATCCCCCTACTCGTCTCAAATAATCTCATGACACAAAAGTGTTAACATGATAATGTTTTGCTAAAAATTTCTTCTGCCAATCCATGTGTATCATTTAAATTATAAGATTTAATTGTGAAAACACTGATGCTTTTTAAAAATGTAAGTTTTCATCTTGGCAATCAGTTCGACTCGCCTTGATATTTTTTGTGTTTATGCCCCCTCGGGGGCAAAGGCTTGTCATTTGTCAGTTAAATGGCTGAAAGGTTAAATTCGATGGAGTTGCATAGGTCACATATTTCCTGATAACCGAATCACATTTGAATACTTTATTAGTAAACATTAAATACAGTAAGTAAGTATAGGGCATATTTTTACAATTTCATTTAGAATACCATCTGTTTCTGTATAAACGATACTAAAGAAATTTAGTTCAAGGCAATATGATTTGGAAAAAGAAAAGCCTATCTAAGTAGTAAAATAGGCATGCATTAAAGTGCAGCAGTACTGTAGTACTCTAGACTAGCATTGTTTTAGTAATACTATATGGGAGTGTGTTAAAAACATGATTTACTATACTATACTTTTCTATAAAACATAATTAGTACTTTATAATAAGAGAAATCTGTATATTATCGGTACCTGGAACAGTAACAATACGAAAGTACATGTTACTGCACTGCAATGCATAGGCCTATTTTAATACACTACTTTTTCCACCTTGATTTCAGAGGTCAAAAACATTTTTCAATTTTTTTCAATCATATAGTGGTGTAATAGTCTTTTGAGAACATTTTCCATTAATTTTTAGATAACATGAGGACAAGAATTTAGCCTCAGAGCTTATCTTATTTCTGTTGACTTGGGTTGTTCGTCATCACTTCAAGATGTCTACCGATTCGTGGAAAAGGCGTATTAGCTTAAGGATGTACTATCAGTCATAATGGTTGGTAATCAATAATTTTAAAGATTTTTTGTAGTAAAATATCTGTGTCGGTTAAAACTACCTTTTTCGATCTGTTTTTCACTGGAAGTTATTCATTTATTTGACCCCTTTAAATGAGCTATTCAAAATTTTATTTGAATTTGCTAGGTATTTTCCTGTTATTTTGACTGATGGTACATCTTTAATTAAGAGTCATTCAAGTATCGAATTAATTATATTGGCATCAGAAGGCAAGTACACGATTGATTCCTGTGGAAACCCGTGAAATCAACTCACCTGTACTGTTACCAAAAGTGTGATCATTTAGTGGTAGATTTTGGCGTCTATATTCGTAGCGCCCCGTGGTGTAAGAAATCCTAACCCAATCGCCAGTATCCGAATTATCTTGAGTAATGCCACACAAATCTGTCTCAAAGTCACAGAAGAATGCCTCAGCTCGAAAAATTGCAAAAATGCTTAAGAAAAAAAGAAGAAAAGTAAACATATTAAATGGCTGCATCTTGGTATAGGTGGATCATGGACGGACTCCAACAAGTAGACTTTTTCAACGAAGGCACAGGTTACGTAGTCTTGATTTCTCTGATGATTTGTAGATGACATATGCAAATCTGATCGTTGTATTATCTGTGGTCGCGTTTGTTTACCTCCTGTATTACAGTTTCTTTAAGTTCAGGCCTACTTGGATGCCGATCAGGAAATATTATCCCCTTCGAAAAAGCACTTTTTATTCCACAAACAGATGGTGTTTTATTATATTTAAAAGTATTTTTTCTCCTAATTCTTTTATATATCTTTCAGAAAATATTGATTATTATTTGATAATGGAACACATCGCCAAAGAGTGGGGAATGGGTGGGGGGAGGCTATAGCACCGGGGAAGCCTATAGCCCCACTGTGAAAAATTTTGGATCCGCCCCTGTTCAATGGGACTAATTAAAAATGGTTTACGTTCTACTATAACAAATATTCGTTTGGATATCCACATGATGCTTGGAATACGGTACATCTTGATCGGGGAGCAACCTCGTGGTTTACAGATTTCAGGCAAAATGTCCAAAATTTATAGCTTCACTTTGAATTAAAAGCTTGTAATGTGACGTTCCCGGTGACATTGCGTTTTCTTAATTCATCGAAGTATAATATTGTCACAAATTAGTGGCCTTGCAATTTACAGTAAGACATTATTCTTATTCGGGATTTTGTTGTTAATAATTCACAATTACATGGATTATGAAAAACCTGGATTTCGCCATGATGGGAGGATAGTATTTTAATGTAATACAGTGGTTTTTTTGTTTTTTGTTTTTTGTTTTTAAATAATATAGGCTATAATGTAAAACGCTGAAAATAAGTAAGTTGGTTACATTGCATACTCTTTGTTTCTCGTTGTTTTAATTTTTTTTTAATCGGTTTTGGAATTTCGACATTAAAAAATATACATGAAGTCATTACGGTAGCTTAATTGATGCCTATAAAATAACTAATAAAAATTTATCAACATTCGTCAAATCCCCGTAGCTTCCAATGGTTTCGCCCCCTGGACCAACCTCTGACCCCTAGGCAGCTGCCCACCCCCAAACAAGTGAGGCTCGCTTCGCTCGCCTAGCCCCCCCCCCGTCGGTGCCTTTAGCCCCCCCTGTCGGGCAGATCCTGGCGCCATCACTGGCCGTATTTCATAAAACCTTGGATACATGACAAAAGATGCAAAATTTTCGCGTAAATTTTCAAAGGCCTATAATTCACGTAAAATAATTATAATAAACAGCAGTAAACTACATTTAAATAGCGCTCAATAAAAGATTTTTTTAAAATAATAAAATAGCAATATTTTTTTAACCAGGTACGCGAAGGGACGAAAACTTAACTTCGGTTTTCTTAGAATCCACTCACCCCTATCGGCGACAGTCGCCAAAAGTTGTCGGGGAGGTTGAACCTGGTTCAACTTTGCCGATCCCAACGAAACGTACCGAATCGCACCCCCGATTCGTCTGCAACGCAATGAAGGAACCAAGTTCAACCTTCCCGGCGACTGGCGCCGATAGGGTGACCGATTGTATGGAAACCGAGCTTCATTGAGGGGAAAAAAAATAGTCTTCGACTCAGAAAGTTAACATTTTTCTATTTCGAATAGTCCTACTATTTACCTCAAATTTTCGGGGAAAAAAAATCGGAATTTTTCAAGGCAACGATGTTTCTTAATATTGTGTCCACTGTGTCCAGTGTATACATGTTAGCGACCGCTAAAATTACTTCAATCATTTGATAGAGCTATGTTTTATCCGTGTACCTAATCTTCTCGCTGTTTCCCAAAGCCCAGTTTTCCACTAGCACTAGGCGAATTTATTCGCGCGAATCGAAAGCGTCGGCTTTTGCGCATGCGCATTTACATTTATATCGGGAGTTTTGCGAAGCGAAAAAATGCGCAACCAATCAGAGCTCAGGAAGCGAACCGACGCTTTGATTCGCATGAATAAATTCGCCTAGTGGAAAACTAGCTTTGTAATAATATCGGTTTGTTGTAATCATTATTCATTTCGTCCCAGTACACATAGGCCTACTCTACAACAGGGCCTGTTTGGGGAGCAGCTTTCTCGCCCGTTTCCCGTAGGGGAAGCCCGTCTGGGAGAAAAAAAAGAAGTCAGAATTTTGGAAGCGAGTACGAAATGTTATATCCCGATAAGAATTTTCATCTCCGACAGCCGTCCTCCATAACATTAAACATAATACCTACCAAAGCTGAATTAATGACAACCTTCGGTTTTTAGTTGATTAAAGTTACTGAAAATAGATAGAACGTTTACGAATTACAAGATACTTCTGTGCGCGAACAACCATCAACCGTGCATTGAAGGTTGGCCTACTGAGAAAAGTTGGCCTACTGAGAAGAAGAAACAGTCCCGGGCACACTTCCCAAAAAAAAAAAACATACTTCAAACAGAATACAATACACTAAAGAAAACAAAGTATAAATTGAGTAACCGTCACTCAAACATTGACAAGCACCCCACCCCAATCCAATACCCACCCTCATCAAAGTATTATATGAAATGATGCCTCAATAGTCATGTCAATCCCCTGAGTGACCCTTATTCAATTAAAAGTAAATATAATATATAATACGAAGTAAACAAAACTTAAAACTAATGATTAAGTAGTAAAGTAGTAAAAAACGACAAAGGAAAATGAAGTAAACTTGAAAACAAATGCATAAAAATACAAACACAAATATGTTCAGAATACCGAATATCCCTGAGAGCATACTTTTCCCTCATCAATAACAAGTTGTTACTCTTCCTCACGAGAACGAAAAGAAAAAAAAAAAAAAAAGCAAAACTATACCAATTAGCAGAAACAATATTCTAAGTACCCTTATTCCCTCCCCAAACTATGAATTTACCCCTTCCGCAAAACTATACCAATTAGCAGAAACAATATTCTAAGTACCCTTATTCCCTCCCCAAACTATGAATTTACCCCTTCCCCTTAAAAAAAAGTATATTGACTGCAAGTGGCATGCGCATAATGTCGCGCGTTTACTGAAACTATACGACATGCCTCATGTATGTGCACTTGAAACTACTAAAGGTTGAGATGGGTTGTAAATGCAGCTGACGAAATATTATGACATCGACTAATATATCTCGACAAATTATCAAATAATGTAACTGTAAAGTACGGGTCTTGGAGAGGGTACTGTAGACGGATTTTTGAAGTTTATAATGTCGAAATGTGTTACAATGACATGTCCTAGTAATTGTATGGCACACCAGAAAAATGAATTAAATTTAATAATTCGCTGTACTGTAAACTAGAAATTCTCGAAGTACCGGTAGGCTTTTCTGTTTTGTGAGATTTAAACTGTGAAGTTATGTTAGCTCATTCACGCTCAAAACCTTTAAATCTCTATCAAACATCTACATAGCCTTTTTTTTATTAACCTCTTGAGACCCGACATTAAAATATTCAACGAATCATTGTTATAAAGGCTGAAACAGGACATTTGTATCCTAATTAGAAGGAAGATGAAGACTAATTTAATACTTTGTGGTCTGCAGCGGAGGTTGGGGGTGGGGTGGTGTCCAAACCAAGTCAATACAATATTAAAGTGTTTCAACAGACAGCAAGTTTATTCACAGTTACTGTACCAGTATTCTATTTTCACAACAAAAAACAGCTAGCGCCCTCTAACTTGTTACCAATGGAGAGGTGAAGCTTCCCCCTCTTTCCGGGAGTTTATTGGTTTATGGTGGTATACAGGCAGTTTGTGTTATTGTTCAGAAAGTTGCTGTATTCGGATCTTGAGACATTCTGGTTACATGAGAATTTTGAGATTTCGTAAATGCAGTACTGTCAGATGTGGAAAATTTAGTAGATGACAAGTGTAAGGTATAGTAGTTTGTGTTGTCTAAAAATGCTATGAATGAAGTTATATATTCTAGATAGAAACTTACAAAAGCTAGGCTACTCTAGCTAGGCCTTGCCTTGCTCGTGTTATTGTATTGACACTTGTTTGCAGCTACACAATCAGTACGTACTTAGTTTTACCCCATGATTGACATAGTTCGGGCCTGAAAACAGCGTGTCCTTCCAAGGCTGTTGCTTGTAGCAATTAAAACGCTATCGATTTTATCATAGATACTTAAGACGGTATGCACATTGATGCCAATGGGATATCTTGATATTCGATTTTAAAATTAGCATGGTACTACTAGGGTATTATTTAGGCCTAGTTGGCCTAGCCATAATAATACAGTATAAATAAAGTCTAGGGCAAGGCCTAATCTAGTCAGTCCAGAACTAGGGCCTAGGCCTAAATAATAGCCTTGTTCCAATGGTGTAAGTTACTCACGGTTATCGAACAAACCTGCTTGAAAGAAAGCGCTTAAACCGGGATCCAGTCAAGTCGCCCCCTTGTAAAGTTGCCCCTTATACACATCTAGATGTGTATAAGAGACAGAAGTAAACAAAACTTAAAACTAAAGATTAAGTAGTAAAGTAGTAAAAAACGACAAAGGAAAATGAAGTAAACTTGAAAACAAATGCATAAAAATACAAACACAAATATGTTCAGAATACCGAATATCCCTGAGAGCATACTTTTCCCTCATCAATAACAAGTTGTTACTCTTCCTCACGAGAACGAAAAGAAAAAAAAAAAAAAAAGCAAAACTATACCAATTAGCAGAAACAATATTCTAAGTACCCTTATTCCCTCCCCAAACTATGAATTTACCCCTTCCCCTTAAAAAAAAGTATATTGACTGCAAGTGGCATGCGCATAATGTCGCGCGTTTACTGAAACTATACGACATGCCTCATGTATGTGCACTTGAAACTTTAATGATTTAGATGGCATATATTTCGTTTTATCTATTTAAAACAAACGAATACCATTATGCAATCATATTTTGATAATCATGTTGTATTATCAGTTCTTTATGCTGCAAATTAATTAATGTGATTTTAAGCAATTCAATGGCATTAATGAGTTTGCGAACAAAACAGTGGATTTTATTAGGTTAGATTCATAATATATTTCGGTTTATCTATTTGAAACAAACAAATTTATATGTTGATAATCAAACCAAAGGATTTTATAATTTTCATATTACAGTGTCGATGCATAGAAGAGGAAGAGAAGAATGTTGATAATATTAATATACTTTTTTATTATATTTTTCGTAATATTATTGAAGCTTACAGTATTTGATGCTTTATGTTTCGTTGTATATTATTTCTAGGCCAATACGTTCTTAAAAGATTGATTGATTGATTTAAAGGAGAAAGTATATAAACGCCACAAAAACTTCACATTATTGATGCCTCGTCCGGCAGCACTCAAAATTCCCGACTGACGCTGACAGGCTGCCGCGACCGACATTATTTTTTTTTCAATGATTTTGTGTATTATATTAGAAAAAAAAAACATGAAATGCATCGCCCTAAAATCAAGAACTTTAACTGTAAACGCCCTTCATTGAGAAGATAACAATAGAAATACACGTTTCCGTGGTTACGCTTGTATTAGATAGGGCAAAGCATGCCCATTCGTGCAGAACAAGTGTGCAGTGTCTGCATCACCTAATGCGAATTCACCAACTGATTAAAAGTTCAAATAATTAATAGACAAGAAAACTACACGTCGTATAGGCCATGGTCACCCCTGCATTATAGGATCTGTATAGGCGAATATCTCGGGGAACAACCACATCATTCCTAAACCATCGCGCATGTTCATACAGTTACCATGTACAGAGATCAAGCCAGTCGGCTATTTTCAGCATTTGACATTCTTTCCTTGTCTCCGATAACATTCCTGAATTGGCGGCGTACAAAGACTTCGTCTCCGATAACATTCTTGAATTGGCGGCGTACAAAACTTTGTGTCTTTATTCTCCCAAGACGTATCATATTGGACCCTACTTGTGGGAACGTTTCCCACTGAATTAATTGTCACTAGGCAACTTAGTACCTGGCAGCTTGATACCTATTTAATGCAATTCATTTCCATTCATGCCTAGATTTAATTATTAATTATTATTTAAATACAGTAACCAATCAGTCACTTTTATCTGAAACGTATAATCGTCTTGCAATAGGCACGCTTGTTTAATCGTACATATATAATTATAATGCAGGATTAATTAATTATATTATATACTTTATTCCAAGATGCAAATCAAGTTTCTTGATAAGTTACAGCTATAGTTAAATTAAATTTTTTCCAAGCAATAAAGTTTCAACTTAGAATATTTTGCAGGATAAAATAAATGTAACACTTCTTAACTAAAAATTATGCTATTAAAACTACTCTGTAAAACAATCAATCTTAATAATGATGTACTAAATTACATATTTAAACGGTATTGTGTTCTTCTAAGTAGAAGTAAAAACAAACAACACATTTTTATGTATACTCTTTATTTCAGAAACTCGATTTTATTGTGGATGATTTCCCTGTACACTATACCCCCTAATCTGCGGCCAACATTGCACTGTGATGTCTAATTCACGCATTGATTACATGTACACTACTCTGCGTTTCATACAATAACTCTTATTTGGGAATATCTTACGGCCGAACAAGTGCACGGCCAAACCGGACATCATAGCTCTCTCCTAGGCCTAGATAAGTTTTAAGTAACGGTTTCAATGGTTAGTTAATAATAATATTCAATATTAGTCAAGGAGGCGACTTGGTTAGGGAGCGACTTTGCGGGCAACTTTGCTAGGGGGCGACTTTGCTAGGGGGCGACTTTGCTAGGGGGAAACTTGACTGGCATTCCTTAAACTCACAAGCTAACACCAACAATTTATAAACCATCATGAGGTGTATAAAGCGCTATAACTATCCATAACTCTACGATATAGAATTTGATGCGAACTTGACTGGATTTCTCATTAACTTTCATCGGATAGTGATCGTTGGAACATAACTATAATATAAAAGGCCCTCCCTAAAATGGCCCAGGCAAGTGGACCTAATTCCAATTATAAATGTAGAAATTTGTATTTATTTCAAATCTATATCATAATACAATAAACAAAATTGACAGAAATTGAAAACTTTATTATAAAAAGCGGCTATTAAATAAAATGAAGTGAAAAATTAGATTCAGGACGACCCAATTAATCCTTATAATTATATAAGAGTTAGTTTCCATTGAGCTCCCTATGAAATGTTTTAAATATCCTGTAAGACCTTGAATTGAAGTCCTGGGTTGCTTCTTTTTTTTTTTTTGGCAAACTGTGGATGGGCTTCTTTTCAAGATGGGCTTCTTCTTGAGGCTACTTTTGCAAAGCAAAGAGGGGGCTTATTTTCAAAATAAATGCTATAAATTCTGGGAATTACTACTATAAAACAAAAAATAGGGAAACTGTAACATCAATCTGTATCATGGAGTGTATTGACTGGCATTAAATAACCTAACTACTGTGTAAACCAAGCATGTTTTTAACTTATTTTGTTGCTTTGAAATTCATGTGCAGTGTATGTACTGTACTATCTCGAGAAACAGCCCATGCTATCTTCAAAAGAATCCCATGGGCTTTTTTTTTAGGCTACTTTGCAAATTAAGTTCAATTCGAGATTGGCTTCTTCTCGAGATTAAGCCCATTGGGCTTCTATTTGAGGTTTTATGGTAGTAAATATGGATTGACATAGAATCTATAAAAAAAATAATAATATATATATAAATAATAACAATTTTCAGAAGGTATCATTGATACTTTCTTAGGAATTAAGCATACTTTTTGTTGTTATTCTATTCTATATATCAAGTAGAAGTCATGTAAAAGTAACAATGATACAGTAAGTATTAGGATTAATTGACTCGCTTGGATTTCAATGGATTTATTCAGTGTAAACACCAAGAATAAACAACAAAACTCTGAAGAAGACTTACAGTATTTGCAGTGGGGTTCTTCTGGTGGTGGTTAGGCAGTAAGCCTATACTGGGAGAAAAGCCCCTACTCTTTTCCGAATAGTGCATTCTTTAACATGCACACAGGCCATAATGCAGACAGGACCATCCGAAAGGCAGTATGCTATGTAACTTGCATTTCAGCCCTCCAGCTGAAACACAAGGACAACAGGGGACCTAGAGATCTCCACTGTTCTTCAGCGCACACACATTAGTTTAGCCGACTGAGCTAAGATGCTCTCTGCCACACATGGAACTTTTGTGAAAGGAAAGCACTGATGCATTGAATTTCATTCTCCAGTCTGTGCACTTGTCAAGAGTCTAGATCCCCGGTATTCAACCCACGGCCCAAGATTTTGATCCGGCCCTCGCAAAATTGCTAAAATAAATAATTTTCCCGTCGATTTTTAGAAAAAGTTTTTCTGTTTATAGAAACACTACCAGGAGGCACCCCTACTCTAACATTGTTTAAAATAATGTGGGTTTTTCTGAGTGTAGCTCACTGTTTGTAGTGGCGTATGATATATGGCGAGGAGGAGACTAATGGGGATACTAAAATGTTTATGATGAAAATTGCAATAAAGTTTCTCGTATCAGATAATGGTATTAAGTGGGGTGCTGACACTGCTTTGAAAACTTATTTTTGAGTCTGAAAGTGCCATTTCCAGGAATCTAGAGGTATGTTAAAAAGTTACTCACCTCAAATGCCAACCACTGGTGATTGGATATTTTTGTGGTAATAAAATTTCTAGTGGCAGGGTAGAAGAACCTGGAGTTTTTTTCAAAATTCTAAAATAAAATGGAGAAGAAAATTTAAGCCTGAGAATGCCATTTCCAATCATCTGGAGGTGCCATAATAATAAATTTTCCCCTATTTCTGAAAGTTCTTGGCCTCTTCTATTTCAAATCCATTCATTTTCATGATGCTCGATTTATTAGTTTTGCATTTCATTTATTCAATACAAGTCAAAACACATTATCTGAGGATTGCCAAAAGTGCACCAGTACTGTCAAGCACCTCTCCTATACTAAATATTTTTACAAAAGAAATACATAGAAACCAATATAGAAGATTCAAATAGATCAGCAATAACTATTGAAATTAGAATTAAGGCCCTATAAAAAATATTATTAGTGTATCACCCTATCTGGGTAGGAAAAGTGATGAGAGAGGGAGGCTTTTTTTAAAATTGTTAATTTTGCTAAAGCCAAATATCACCCTTGGGTTGTTTGCTGGTGCATTGATATTCAAAGTAAAACATGATTTAGATAATACAAACAATATCTACTAACTATTTAATAAAATAAATAAATAAAAAACATCAAAAAAAAAAAATTTTTTTTTTTTTTCAAATTTTTTTTTTCAGTACCATGCGCGCAGGGGTGATAAACTAATAATTTTTTTTATTGGGCCTAAAATTAATATAAAATGCCAGAAAAATCAATATACAGAGAAGGTATAAAGTTGTAAGATGAATTTTTACAACAGTTATAGTCTTGCTAACAGACAAACAGCGGTAAATACATACATCCTGGGTAGGATGATACAGATAACATCAACTGCAGTAGTAGTAAACTAAAAGGTTGTCGGTTGCTCTAATATAGCATGAAAGCAGGTGATCATGGATTGGCCTATCAAGTTTCAAGTACTGTAACCAATTCATTGGACATCATCAGTATTGGGGGAGGGGGGGACCATTCCACGTAAGGCTCAGTCACCATGCACCTGCATGAGTACATCCCTGCTGTGGAGTTTATGCAGTATTTCACCATAACCAGAAACTAAGCATTGAGATTTTTCGTTTTAATACTATGAATCTTCCTGTTCTATTTTAATACTATTTTGCTTATTGAAATTACCAGTAGTTTTTTCCCAACAAATCACAAACCTATTATAATACATAGTCTCTATGCATCAAGTGATGAATGCTCAGAAAATAAGAGTGAGAAAATAGTACATGTTAGCAAGAATAAGAGAGAAGGAAAACAGAAAATCTTAACATATATAGTACAGTCTGTAGCAATAGTCTTTGTTTATGGCCAATGTTTTCTTTTTCACTTGAAATTTTAAGAACTCTGTACACTACACTTCCAGAATAGTCCAGGGAATGTCTCCCATAATACCAATTACCACCAACCGGCAGAATCTCTCCAATTATAATTTTTTGTTTCGTCTTTCAGAATGAAAAGATTTGAATCACTTTCATCTTCAGGGTCTAGGCCACACCTCAGAGGGTATTCAGAGCCGAGCTCAACAATGCCTCTGTACTTGGAGCAAGAAGGGCTTTTAACAAGGAAAACCCATCAGGATAATTTTGAGTTTATGACCTCCACTCAACTTAGGGATGAATTAAGGGTGAGTATAGTCATCTGACATTTTCTTCTACCTGAGATAGAACTATAGAAAAACTTGAAAAACCTCTAATGAAATCATTTAATTTAAATCATTAATTGCTCATTTGAAAGTATCATTGATCTCCTTTTAGCAGATTTACAGACACTTAAATTTAACAATCTTAAAATAGATTATATTACAAGCAAATTTAAGGGTCTATGCAAAGAGTAGAGAAACATCTGTTTATTGTATAGATCAAACATGGAGTACGTAATTTAAAACATGTTAAATTTGAAATTTTAAAGTTGCTTTTTAAAATCTAAAACATAGATGATAGTTCTGTAAGAAAAATCAGCGACAGCTTTAGATAAACCTAGAAATTGTTAGCGTTAAAAATGGTGTACTCTAATATTTTTCTTGCATATGATTAGTGAAAAAATGTTAATGAAGTAGACATTGAATACAGGGGTTTATTTCAGACAACTGACCATGAAGTAATCTGATTGATCATAAAATGATCTGATTGGTCGAAATGTGTACATGCTCATATATGGAGATGTTCTAGATTTGTTTTCATCCTGTTCTGTAATTCTATACAGAAATTGTTTAATTTATTTGGTGTTAAGTATTGTGACTCGGTTTACATTCAGGCTAAATTTGATAACATGCTAACATCTGACCAGATTCTCATACTTTAATCTTCACTCCAAAATTTCCAAAGGTTGCTGAACCCTAATGGCGGAGGCTCACATTCCCTGAAGTTCTTGGCCATTGCCATGGAGATGCTGAGTTGGTTGCCTAACCAAATTTTCATGCCTTCAAGTGTTTGTTAGAGCCTAAAGGCAGGCTTTCTGTTCCTTAAAAGGCATAACTGTCACTGCCACGCTACACCGCCCTGACCCACCATGCCCCACCTGTATGTGTCTGCAGCAGATATGAGTCCGATATGATATATGTGCCAATTGCCATCTATTTACAATACAACCATGCTCCATCTTGCCTGCCTTACTACAGTAATCTTATTTACATTCAACCAGACAAACACTTATAATATATTAATTGTTTGAATAGGTGAAGTGGGACTTTCTTCCATGAAAATTAAAACTTACTTTCAACACTGCCATCATAGATACAAATTTTCATCTGAAATGTTGTATTCAATGGCTAAGAGGTAAAATTGACACCAGTGCCAAATATTTGTTTAAAACTAAGCTGCAGGTGTACAAACATTACAAATATATTTTTTGTTTAATTTAGTGTTATTGCTCATGAAGTAAGACATTTATTTCATTTCATTAATTTATTTATTCAGACAAGTGCTTTGAGGCCCGAAAGCAACAAAGTCACCATGACAAAAGTCTGGAACCCCAGTAAGCTAAATTTAACTACATGCTTAGATATTTTAAAAAAACGTGAAAGGCCAAGATCAATTTTAAAATACACATATTTGACACACAATTTAACAAATTGATAAAATTACATAAAAGAACGATAAAAGAATTAAAGTTTAAAGAGATCACTAACGAAAATGTATAGTGCATTTGATTTGATAATAATTTTAATTATCATCATCATCATCAGCCTGTCAGTCAACTGCTGGCCAATGGCCTCCTCAAACTCCATTTTTGCTAGACTACAACCATTTTAAGATGTAATAATGCTAAGAGAATACTTGTGTTTAGACAGTGCTAATTAACAGACTACTACTGTTTGTTTAACTGTTATTCTAGTAGTCATCAATATGCCTGATGAGCCAACTTAAAAGTATTTCTATAAGAATCAATAAGATAATGAACTTAACAACTAATGGAATGTGATAAGAAAACAGGTTGGCATTGTTCCCAGACACTTTGACTATCGATATGAAACTTCTACTGTACAAACATGCATATAATTCTTGGTTCAATATGGATAAACAAACAAGAATTTTAAAAATTAAATTAAAAGTGGTTGGCAGTGAAAAGTTTGGTTGAACCTACTCAGTTAACAGTAAAAGGATTAAGAAATAAGTATAAATTATTAAATTGTAATGTATTCATTATTAAATTGTGATTTTTGTCAGCATTTGAGACCATTGTCTTTAATTAAGCTCAGGAACCACTTATGAAAAGCCTGTTCCCCTGTCTTGATCATTTTCCCTCATGGTGGAATATTATACAGTGAAGGTACTATTTTAGAGATACTGCAATTGTGTGTTTATATATAGCACCAGTGCCCCTCACAAGATGCTATTTATACCACATAAAAAATGGCTATAATGATGATCAAAGAGATAATAAAAACTGGCGTAACACTGATGAGCGAGGCTTCAAGGGTGTTTTGACTTATACCAAGGAGGTTAAAATTTTAACCTCCTTGCTTATACCCACTCTATTATGCATAAAACACAAGAAAAGAATTCATCTCATGATATCTTTTACATCATTGCAAAATTCCATATACCAATGTCTCCTCATGCATGTAACACATGCAAAGTATCCAGAATTGTTTGCAAAGGATAACTAAATGTTACACAAGTTATACAAAAGTTTTCTTCATGAATAAATAATACGGTCTTGAAGGGTATTTAACGAGTGCCGCAAGTGGCAGTTTCTTGCCTTTTGTAGTGTAAACCCGAACAAATCAATTTTCGCCCATTGTATCCATCATGCCCCACCACCTCATTATTTTACTTGAACTGAGATCAAACGTGCAAAATGTGTTTGATGCCTGAAACTATTTTGTTGTCAATATTAATATTGATAATTTTGTGATCTATTCTAATTGATCATTAGTAATAATTAGAAAATTTTATTTGTCTCGGAGAATTTCATAATGCCTATGGTTTTTAATTAATATTAATTTATAGCTAATTTACAATATAATAAAATTATTGATAATTAAGTTTCCATAATTATAATTTCCTATATTTTGATACTTATGTTTTGAGTTTCACAGAATTTAAAAGAAATATAATACAGGATTTGGCAGGTGTACTGTATGGATAGACGTTTCACGTTCGTTTCTAGATCAGTGATAGTTAAACTAATGTACAAGCCACAACCAAAAATTGTGTCACTAGATAAATTTGGGGGTCACAAGACTCTTAGGTCTTTTTAAAATGTGATTTTTATATCATGCTACAAATTGGTGTAGTAGTTTAGTTAATGATAGTATATGTTTTTTAATATTTGATTAAATAATCAGATTAAAAATTAAGATTAAAGTACAGTAATAAAACAAGATTACCAGGCAAACTAAATGCATCAGTGCCTGATCTAGAGATGGCAGTGCGGCTGTATAATTCAAGTTCTCAAATTTTTTTCTTATTTTCTACAGAGAGAGAAACTAAGGCGAAGGGAGACAGAGGTTCAACTTGACTCAA